CGCATGTACATGGTGACATCACATGTCAAACAATCGTCCGATAATAAAAAGTAATCATACAATATTCACAAAATATAATTCCTTCTGCTCATAGCTTTCTTCCAAATTGGACAATATGCTTCAGCAAAAATACCTATTCAAGCAAGAGAAATTGCCCTTCAATATAGTGCATGCTCCTTCAATTCCAGGCATGACCAGTCGCCAAAAGAAAAATCGTCCTTCCAATATGCCTTTCAAATAAATCATTCTTCTATTATGGAAATATGTATATCCATGTCGACAACTCCATCTAACTCACCCTAACTTTTCTAAATAGTTAACTTAGTTATGTTAGATAGCTAAGAAGATCATAAAATTATTAACATAACATAAGAGATATAACTCTTACCCATTCTTATAAACACTTAACACACACTTAGCACTTACTTATAACTTATAACCGCTTAGTAATTAGGGATTAGGGTATAACTCCACACAACTATGTTAACTACTTCTAAAACAACCAGGATTCCAAGTAGAGGAGCAGGCCGAGCAGCCTGACTCCAGGCCACGCGGCCTAAGGGCACCGCGCAACCCCACGGCGCAGGAACGCGCCGAGCACGAGCTCACTCACACGCCCTACCAGGCGTGGTGCGAGAAGTGCGTGGAGGGAAAGGCGCGCGAGGACCCACACCGCCGCCGTGAGCCCTCAGATGATCCGGTGACGCCGCTTGTCACCATGGATTATCAGTTCTACAGCCGGGACGGGAAAGAGGTTGAGGAAGAAGCGTCGCTCGCCACGGTGCTGAACCTCACAGACAGGGCCACTGGCTGGACTCTGTCGGTTCCCGTGGCGCGCAAAGGGCACAGACACGCGGCTTATGCCGCAGGGCTTGTGGAGCAGTTCGTGGATCGCCTGGGGTACGACAAGTTTACCCTACAGGCCGACCAGGAGAACGCCGTAGCCTCTGTGGCCCGTGCGGTCCACCGCCGGCTTGGAGCTGCTAGGGTGCGTCTTCGGGACGCCCCTCGCGGGTCACACCAGAGCCAAGGATCCGTGGAGGGAAGGAACGCACACCTGGCAGGCGAGGTTCGCACTTGGCTTTCGCAGCTAAGAGCGGACTACCCCGCCTTAGAGTGGGACACCTCGTCCAACCTGTTCCCGTGGCTGGTCAGGCACGTGGCCTGGCTGCAATCCCGGTTCGGGACCAAGTCAACAGACGGGGTGACACCATATCGGGCAGCCACTGGCACCGACTATGGTGGAGCACTTTGCTCCTTTGGAGAAACCGTTCTAGCCAAGCTCCCAAGGCCCGGGAACAAAGCGCAAGTGCGCTGGGTCAAAGGGGTCTGGGCCGGCAAGCTGGAGCGCGACGACTCCCACGTGGTGCTAACCGAAGCTGGCGCACTCAACGTGAGGAGCGTCAGGCGACTTCCGCCGGAGACCCGGCACCAGACGGCAGCCGTTCTCAAAGCGTGCGGCCTGCCTTGGAACCCCAGATTTGGCCGCGCAGCGCCAGCAGAGCGCAGCGAGCCGATGATGGTGCCAATCCCTCTGGCCGAGGAAGTGGAGCGGCTAGAACCGCCCGGTGAGCCCTGGCTCTTCAACGACGAGCCGCGGCCCGACGACGAGGCCCTCCTAGTCGAAGGGGCCGAGCAGCTCCCGGACGCTAGCCCCACCGAGGAGCTAGCCAACGCCGACATACCGGACTACGAACCGTCCGACGTGGAGGCAGCACCTTCCGCAGCAAGCGCGCTGCCGCAGCAAGCGGCAAGCCCGCCCCAGCCGCCAACGACGGCTCAGGCGAAGCGGGGCAGAAGCGCGACTCTGCGGGTTCCTCCGCGAGCGCAGCGGCAGCACAGCAGCCGCCTGCAGCAAAGAGCCGCACGGAGCCCAAGAAGGCACCACGGCTAGGAGTGCTCACTGAGCGCGAGGTGTGGCAGCACATCGCTGCCTTAGCCGACCCGCCGCTCACCAACCACCAAGGCGAGCGGGACGCGTGGGTCGGGCAGGTGACAGACCTGCTGGACCGGATGCTCGAGCCCAAGAAGGTAGAGCAAGCACGCAAGGAGCAGCTGAGAAAGCTGTGGGACCGAGGCGCTTTCACGCCTGCATGCGGTCTGAAGTACCGCGCGGGGCGCAGCTGTTCAGGGCAAAGTGGGTCGACAAGTGCGACAAAGGACGGTACAAGTCAAGGTGTACCTGTGCCGACGTCAAGGCCCGCTACAGCCCAGAACAGGAAGCTGGCTTGGACGTTTTCGTCCCAACGCCAACGCCCGAGAGTCACTCCCTACTTGAGGTAGCAGCGCTACACCGCTACACAACGAAGGGTGGGTCACAAGGTCTCTGGATATTGTGGCCGCCTTCCTCATAGGGAAGGACCGCGGTGCGGCGGAAGGCCGCCCGGTCTACATGCACGCGCCTGTCGAGTGGCGCGAGCTCTTTGACCAATGGGTCTTGGAGCAGCCTGCGAAGGACCAGCAGTGGTACCGAGACCACTTCCGGGACTTCGTGTTCCGTGTGGACGGCAACGCGTGTTTCTAGACCGCCGGTCCGGCCTGATCCTTCTCCACCATATCGACGACATCCGTGTCGCAGGCCCCAAGGCCGCAGAGCTGAAGTTCACGGAGGTGGACCTTCCAGCGCACTGTGAGATAACGGTGGGAGAACTGGAGGAGCCGGGCACAGCGGTGGAGGTCCTAGGCAGGACCAAGGTGCGCACCGAGGACTCTATCCTCACGCTGCCCGACAGCAAGCACGCAGAGAATGTGTGCGAGCAGCTGGGCATCGGTCCAAGAGACAAGGGGACCGTGCCTAGCAGACCTCTAGACCTGACCAAGGTCGAGGAGCTCTCTGCGGGTGACGCCGCGAGGTTCCGCAGCGCCGTGGGTAGTGCTATCTACCTGTCGGCGGACAGGCGAGACATACAGTTCGCCGTGAAAGAGCTGGCGCGAAGGATGCAGAACCCAAGGGTCTGCGACTGGCTCGCTGCGGAAACCCTCGCGCGATACCTGCGGGCAACCCCGCGGTTTGGAAGGGTAGTTGTGCTGGACCCCGCGTCCAAGAGCACAGCTCTTCTGAACTTGGAGGTCTACTCCGACTCCGACTGGGCAGGGTGCCCAGAAACGAGAAGGAGCACAGACAACATAGTTGCCTGTTTGGGGGGAGCAGTCATCCAGACAAGCTGCCAGACACAGCCCGGCCTCCCAGCCACCTCCAGCGGAGACGCGGAGATCCGGGGAGTGTCGCGAGCAGCAAGGGAGGCCGTCTTCCTACGAGAGCTTGCGGAGAAAGACTTCGCCCTGGCCTGCGGTGTGCCGCGGCTATGGGCAGACTCCGCAGCTTCGATCGGAGCCGCCAAACGCATAGGACCAGGGTCTAAGTTGAGACACCTGGAAGTTGCAGAATTCTATGTACAATAAGGTGCGCTCAGAGCCAAACTTCTCGAACTGAGAAAAGTTAAGGGAACCGAGAATCCGGCGAACTTCGCTACCAAGCACGCGAAGACTGGACCGGAGGTGCGGCAATCCCTGCCCTCCATGGGCATGGTGGACCTCGATGCGGTCGCAGGCGCCACCGAGGCTCTGGCCCAAAAGGGCACGATCAAGTCGATCCAGGCAAGCCCCTGGAAGATGAGACCGCCGACCAAGCTTGCAAGCTCGGCGCTCATGGCCACAATCGTGGCGCTGCAGGTTCGACCTGCCAAGGCCCAAGGGCACGACTTCGCAGAGCTGGTGCTCGGCTTCGCAGCCCTAGGCTTCCTTGCCTTCCTGTGGATGCTTTGGGGCTTTGTCTCCTGGCTCTGCAGGTGCAGACGTGACAGGCAGGAGCCGGAGCACGAGGATGAGATCGAGCACCACGCCGAGCGTGCCGAAGAGCCGCCGCGTGCAGCTCAAAGGGCCACTGAGATCTGGCTAGGGCCGGAAGAAGAAGCGCCAAACCAGGCGCAGCAACGAGGAGGTGGGCAGCAGCCCAGGGGGGCTCAAGAGCCAGAGCCTGAGGGCGAGCGGACCCCAGGTCCGCCCCCTGTGGCAGACGCGCCACCACCACCGCCGCCCGCTGCATCAAGGGTGCGGCGCAGGCGTAGGGGACCGGAACCCCTTTCGGGGGACGACGAGCATCTCTACGAGACAGCCCGTGGTGACAAGATTCATCTTTTCACCAACTGCAATGGGCTGAGCTCCGTCCCGCCGGATCAAGTCCTGATCGGCTTTCGCTGCCACTGCGCAGCAGATCCTCAGAACTCCGAGTTCCTTTGGACCGGGTTCGCCTTTCAAGTGGCCACCGGCCGCGTCGTGCGCCGGTACCATGGCCAACAGCGAGGTTGCCCATTCATGGAAGGGGCAACAATCAGACACAGGGTGTGTCTCCACTGCCGCAACGGGCACCAGAGCACCAAGCCCGGCAGTGCAGTGAACAACTCCCGCCAGTGGGTGCCTCCACCCTAAGGGGCCCCTAGCGGGTAGCACCGCAGGGCGAGCCTTACCGCTGCCAGCCCTGTGTGCGGGACGCTCCGCCCTACCAGGGGCGTCTCACCCTCTGACTGCGGGATGCCCCGCGGGAGGAGCCTTTCTCAAACCCCTACCTCTAAGGGGGGTGCGAGATTTTCGTAGGCTACACTAGGAAAACCTAGGAAGTAGCTGTACAGTATAAAGAGAAGAGGGTTTGAGCTAAAGGGCTTTAACCTGACTGCGACTCACCGCAGCCCTCTTTTGCAGAGTGAAAATAGTGAGCCCAATACGCGACCCTACCTCCGCGCAGAATCGCCTATAAGCCTTGTGGATTGCCTCAGCCCGGTGATCAACAAAATCGCTTGTCTAAACTACCCGTCTTTCTACGACTCTCATTGAAAAATCAACAAATCAGGTACTTGTAGCAAATTTGATGAAGAATAATGATGGAAAGCAGTATTTAAAAATGCCACTTTCAAGATCGATAACGTATTGCTTGCACATCCTCAATGTATCCTGACCTACCTTTAACATTTCCTCGGCACATTCTCAATGCATACCGTATGCAGGTGTATCCTGGACGCTGACTTGCTGGAGTCCCATTTATGTTGTTCGCTTCTGGACTTGTCTGGACTCGTTGCGGTTAGATACTGCTTCAGCCAAGCAGTGTTGTCAACCAGCACGGGACCGGTGATTGTCGAGATTTGGCTGCGCAGTTGGACACTTGAGCGAGCCCTAGCATGCCCACAGGAGGTTCGAGTGGAATAACCACAAAGCAGCCATCAGATAAGTTTGAGTCATGTATCCAACATGCCATGTAAATCTAGAGGTCTAACCGCTTAACATTAAAAAACATCAAAGGATTTTATGAAGCACCTACGTCAGAAGTCCTGGTGAGCCATTTGTCACATCAACATCTACAGGGAATCTTCGGGTTGGGGTCGGTTAACGATACCTGGTGCTGCGTGATCATCTTGATTTGACGAGTTACATATGCGTTACAATGCCCATGCCGATTATCCAAATTCCTGTGGCGCTAAGTTCACTGGCTGGCGAGCAGCCTTACACCCTCACCTGGGATACATCTGTACCAGCCGACTCTGCTGTGGTCAACTTGACCTTTGCAGGCGTGGGGGCCATACGTTTCAGTCTATGGAGACCTATTCTGGTTGATGGCATGGTTACGGGGAAGAACTCGAGGCTTGGGCTGTATAGGCAGGATAGCCGGGGGCTTGTAGAGGTGTACGAGAATGGTTGCGCAAACGGATACGGGCGCCTTCAATATCGCCATCTCAAGTTGCAGAAGGTGCCTGGCATGCTGCACGCTGTGGCCTCGCAAGTGCTTACGCTGGAGAAGCTTCTGCAGATCGAGGAAGCTCCCTTTCGTAGGGTTAGTATTTATCGAAAGGAGGTTGGCCTCTTCGTGAATCAGGGCCCCAGGCGAGAGATGTGGCAAGCGAATTGCCGCGCCTGGCGAGATGCATGGCATCGTGGCTTCCTGTCAAAAGTGGGAATGCACGTGCTCTGTGGCGCGTTGGAATGCTGGCGACCTCGAGAGTGGGTCGCAGCCTTGGGAACAGCAGCTCCCTTGCTTCGAGGCTTCCATTTCCGTGGGACGCCTGGGGGCGAATGGGCTTGGCCCAAGTTCCGAAACGGATACAATTACATGCACAAGGTGTATTCCATGGGGGAGATTGCCCGTGAGCATGCATACGCATACATATTGTCGCTTGACGACGATGTGCTCTTGCCAGCATCCGCCATTGCATTCCTAGCAAACTCTGGTGATTCTAGTCGAGCACAAGGATGTGGCGCTGTGGTACCACTGCTGCAGAACGGCGTGCCGACGACAGAACTCTGGGCTGAGGAGTTCCTCGGAGCATCTGAGAAACGTCGCCTTTTCCAGTGTTTCGAAGGAAGTCAGGTCCGAAGTGGATGTAACGCCAGGCATGAGACGGTCGAGGCTTTCAAACCAAAAGTGTGGGATGGGCCATCATTTTATCGGGCCTTGTCTGATTATGCATCGAGAAGGGATCTTGGCCCTCTCGCCCCTCGACTACGCGGACATCCTGTGCGCTACAACACCACCTGTGCTGTGTTGGCTCTTGGGCTCGCCCTAAGTCACCTGCCAACAGAGTGGCTGCGCTGGCGTGACGACCATGCCTTGATTGTGGACACAGAACGGCGCTACCCTTACTTGTGTAACAACGCCTTCCTCATCAGTGCGCCACTGTACTTTGAGGTCTTGCAGCGACTGGAAATGGTTTGGGGTAATGCGACGGGATATGATTTCCAGCCACAACGCACTTGCGAGGAGCGGATGACGAATGTCGTGGTGAAACTGCATGGTCTTTTTAAATGCTTTGTCAGTGGATCGTTTGGTATCCATCCAGCGTATAATACGCAGTTCTCGCCTCAGTCCTACGATGAGTGGGCTGTGCAGCGCATTTTGGAGTTTATGGACAGCTACCCTACGTTGCAAGCATAGCTTGTCGTCCCATTATTCGAAATGAATGGATCTCAAAATCGAGCGTTGAGCGTTCCAAGACGCGAGATCCGTCTTGCACCCAGAAATCAGGTCTTCCCGAGCATCCTTCGGCGAGTGCGCCGCCCTCGGATTTGTCAAGCGTCGGGGTCCATGTGGCCTATGAGGTCTATGGTTGCCCCCACTGCTCTACAGACAGTGTCATCGAGCCCGGACTGATACAAACCCAGCACACTCCGAGCAGTCGCACGCATGAGAATTTCCTGCAGCAGATCGGGCTCTCCAACTCAACAGCTTCTCAAATAGGGTTGATTTGGAGGAACCTGTTTTTTGGGCGCAAGATGGCATAGCAAGTATTTGCGATGGAGTCTTCCCCAACTCCCTCAACAAAGTCTACACTCAGAAATGAGCCAGTTGAGTATACTGCATGAGAGACTGAAGAGATATCTTAGCGTGCCTTGTGTGGGGCATCAGCGCCTCATCGACCTGCGAAAGCGCTGGGGATGACTTGGCTGCAGAAAATCGACGACCTCGAGGTGCGCCCAACCCGACCTGAAAGCCCCGCCCGATGTTTCAGACTCTCAATCGCCAAGGCTCTCGCGTGGCCACATGAAAATCACGTCTGCGTAGTTTCTATGGTAGGTTGGCTTTGTCGGCGGATGATGCCATGACGATTTCCGTGCAACAGAGTTACCGGAGTCGGAAGCTAGCCCATGCCAGATCGTAGCCGTCAAAATCCTGACGTTACATGTTCGGCGAGCATTATGATGTTTCACCTAGAACTGTCGATAAATATCAAAGAAGAGAGGCAGCGAACCAATTTGTGTACCAAAAATCTGCGCCCAGTCTGGCATGGTCGGGTACTGTAACTGGACTGAATAGAAATCCTGAAACTTGCACCGCTGATGATTTGACCGGTTTGCCGCCGCTTGCCTTCGTCAGGCTGCCGGTGCGCTCCTGCGCCATGCTGCGCGGCATCTTGGCGACTAGCAAACGAGAGAGCATGGGTCAATCCTATGTGGCCCATCTCCTTCAGAACAGCGCAGAAGAAGCACGGGCCTTTGCGAAATTTGGCAAGTTTTTGTTAAGTCTTCTCAGGCTCCGTCGCTTCGATGCCACACCCGGCAAGGGCAAGTCCGGGCAGCCTGGGCAGCACAGGGCAGCGAACAGGTACTGTAGTAGGCCACAGTAAGTCGAGGTTTACCGTTCACGAGTGCACACGCTGCTTGCGATTTCTTACAACGACGCCATCTGAGAATCCTCACTTTCGGTAAGCACAGCCCTCCACATCACGACAGAAGGAGCGCATGCTGAGAGCCGATGTGAAAGAGCTCAGGTCAGTCGACTGGCAGCAGAGCATGGGGTTCGGCACCCGGCTTTCCCAACATTGCGCCACTCATGACAGGTATTTGTAGCGACTTCGGTCAGCAATTCCGGGTCCTTGTGGTGTGGGTCTTCAACAACACCTGACTCACCGCTTCAAGGTAGTCGAGGTTCGGTCTCGGGGTCGCTGGCAGTACTCTTTGTCTTACCTAGCATGAACCCCAGATCCTGCAGCGACTGCCACCAGCGGACAAGTTCTGCCTTGCGGCATGAAAGATCATCAAAGGACACTGTCATTGTCCTGCCCTATCACACAGTCTGGGCTGAAAGAGGACGGTTCAGTGAAGAGCATGAAGCCCTCGTGCAGCAGAGTTTGACAATCGCAGGAGGATGTGCTTGTGGAAGTGTCCACGTGCGAGCTGCAGGCAGGGGATCGTAGCAGCTCTGTCTTCTCAGTCACCAGCGCTCTGCACATTTCCGGAGCACCCTTCCGAGCCAGGTGCACGTGCAGGGCAAGAAGCTGGCCGACTCCTCGGCTTGTTGATGTTAATGGCAATGCTGCAACAGTGAACCAACTGGATCAGCTGCGAGTCTGTGTGAATTATCAGCCAGACTGCCACCCTTTCCCTTGTGTGAGCTTGCAACCACCACAACTCGTATGACTGTGTGCCTCGGGCACAAGGCAGACATGAGCGGCATGCTCTGTGGGAGCATCCGCCAGAATCTCTCTTGGTGGAGGCGCGAATCCGATCTTCGACCGCCAACACAACGCAAGCATTCCTCATGCCGCACCAGTGCCTGTCGTCGGGTATCCCACCCAAGCCAAGAAAAGTTAAAGTGGGACAGGCTGCGACGCGAGGTCGCAAGACGGATGAACTGTGGCGTAGACGAGGCCCACGAAAGGCCATGCGAGCTTGTGCTTGATATCGCCAGTTGCTCCAGTAGCGCGGTATACCGTCCCTGGAATATGCATCTCTGTGCGAGGGAGTTAGTGACAGAGCGAGCGGTTGTGGTTGCATGTCATGTGCATGCCTGTATGTCCCTGGAGGACGCCATCCTTCACCTTAGCCCTGCACTAGCCAACGGTGCCTGGTCGGCCCTCCCCTGGATTGCACTGAAATGTTTTTGCCACCCTGTTCCAAGACTCAGAGAACCTTGTGGCAACCCGGGAGACCAGCCTACCTGCCCCAGCTGTACCCAATCCTTGCTCTACAGTGATCTCCTACACAGCCCTATCCTTCTCATGTGGCCCGACTGCAGCTGGGTCTCTCTTTGATTCTCTTGAGACGGCTTTGAAGCGTCACCGGCAGGCTGACTCTCGAGGTGGAGCGGCTTGCCTGCACTGACAGCTGACAGTTTCGGTTCGAGGGCCGCATTTGTCCTCTAAGGCTGGCAAAGACCACTCACAAAAGCTGGCCTGATGTGCCGTTTGCTTAGTCGTACAGGATCTGATCTCATTCTTTGGCCATTGTCTGGCTTGCAGATGGTGTTTTTCATTTTCAATTGTTGGTCGAAGTGCCATGCCTAGCATCCCCGGAGCATCACAGCCCACATCGAAGGATCGAGTATGTAATTGCACTGTCGCCGAAGAGCACCTCTTGTGAGGTGGCACAAGAAGGAGATGAAACATCCCGATGCCCGGCTGCCACCTCTGACGAAAGTGCCAAGGAAGAAGTAGCCACTAAGTAGCGGCTTGAGACTGCACAGACGAAGCGTCGCCGGACCTGCCTCCCCTTTCGAAAGTTTCTCAGGTCGGGCTACCCGTGGACACCAGCCATGGAGGCTGCTCAGGCCAGGCACCGGCAGCATTTGCTACTGGCGAAGGGACCCGCTTTGGGGGCCACCCCCCTCCCCCCTCCGCTTCTCTCCGAGAGGACACAAAGCGCGCTACCAGAGAGCCCTTGGCCAAGGGGCCTCTGCAGCGCTCAAGGGCCACGGAGGAGAGTCCTGTTACATCACAAAGTTTGGAAGCGGTCAGCTTTCAGGAAACTGGAAAGACACCGTCTCGAATCCTGTATTTGCAGATTTCCTGGGGATCTTCACTGTTGCCCACGGCATGCACACCCCGTGCGCCTCGGTTGAGTCCCTGCAGGAAGGTGCCATGCCAGGCGCTCCATGGATGTGGGTGTGTGACGGTTCAGGATCCGTGTATACCGAAAGGGCTGGCTTTGCAAGCTTATGCTCGCAACGATGATATCTTTTCCGAGTGGTTGATGGGGATGAGACCCCCCCCAACGCAGAGGAACCCAAAGCTTTGAACAAACACGCAGGACACTGAGATCAACATATGGTTTGCTACAAAAAGCCGAGTGCGTACTGCCCCGCCAGGCTTTCTATTCGTCGCGCCCCCAGATGAAGTTCCATGCTCGTGGGTTGAGAGATCCATGATCCGACACGTAGAACAAGCAGAGGCGGATACTTGCTATCGGCAAGAGGCGAGTATTCGAAGCGATAAGCTTTTGCAGGATTCGGTTCGGAGTAACAAGCAACTGACATTATAATCGAGCCAGCTGCGTATCGAGCAAACTGAAACAGTTGTGAGACCGAAAGTCTTCTATACTGACCGACGAGGGCAACTGGCTCCCGATTGCATGTTGGCCGTGCATCAAGTTGTGGGAGAACTGAAACGATTCCAGTCCCACGTTATGCGGGCCAGCCTCCTGCTAGCTTCACACCGAGGCTCCTGATGATCTCTGCATCGGCATCGACACATTGCAGGCATGCGTCCTGTGCTCGGGAGATCTCGGGAAGGATTTCAGTCTAACGTAAGAGCCCATCTAACTGATCTGCTTCGGACTGCAGGACAGCAAGACCATCACAGTCCGAATTCACTTTGAGACCGAAGTACCTCGGTCTCGCTTGCCCATGCAAGGCTCGGTTATCTTGTGGGGGTCTTCTGTGCAAGCGTTGATGCCACTCTACTATGTCTACACCAAGACCTCTCTGATGGTCGGCTGTCTCACTTAGCCAAGGCACTCCATGTCGTGCAGAAGATCATGCCGCCGCTCTGACAGACAGAATCCGTGTCATTGTCAGACATCGGCACACTTTAATCACAATACTCTAGCGATGTGTATCACAGCCGAACACTTGCTGTTCGAGTCTGAAGCATGGCCTGAATGAGGCTGGAAGAGCTCTTTGCTGCGGATGTCCTGGATGTTGCTTGGCACAAGCAAGGACAAAGGCCTTCTGGTCGTTGTGGGCGGGAATGTTCACGGAAGTGGGCTGCTTTTTTGTTCTCTTGCCCTTGAATTGGTCGTCCGTTCTTGCCGTTGAACTTTGTCGTCCGTATGGCTTCCAATTGCCGTTCGCACGTGGATTGTTTTTCCAAGATGCACATACCCGTGCCCAGCGCAAAGCCCAGCTGCTGCCCGAACAACTGGCACAGCCAGAACTGCCAGCCTCAGTCTACTCCACTGCCATCCAAACCCGGGTTTGTGCCTGCAAGTGACACGGCAAGTCCTGTATACAATCCAAGGATCGCATCAACATCTTCCTGCAGGGTGACGAGCAGAATCCCATTCTTTGGGCAGGCATCAATTGCCGAGGGTTGTCGGGCAGCTTGGAGTGCTCGCCTTGGCTTGATGAATAACGAAGGGGGCAGGTCACAGCTTGCACCCTTGCTTCAAACCCAATCGAAAGGACTTTCGGGAAGGTGCATCCCAAAGTCGTCTGGAGCTCAGGAGTGATGCTTGACCACTGATCCTCCGTGACCGAAGGATGCGGTGCGACTACCACTCGAAGGCTCACCTGCCATGCACTGCAGCGCAGCTAAGGACTACCTGGGCGCTGACGA